TTATAGCACCAGCCAGTGGGCTTTACCCCAAGAAGAAACTTGAATGTTGTATCGAAGGCTAGGAAATGAGACGATGTTTATAAGTTTTAATTTGAAATAACTGAAGGTAGGTGTGTGTACTTTTTAGAAAATCATTCCCTGCTTGAAATGACTTTTCAAAACCCAACCAAGTATCGATCCTGATAATTATAGGTAAGAAGACTTGTACTCGAATAGAACGTGTGTATGTACGTATTTTAGGGAGGGGAAGTGTAGGTGCACACGTGCAACAGAGAGAGAGAGGGAGAGAGAATCTTAAGCAGGCTCCATGCTGTCAGCACAGAGCCCAACTCAGGGCTCGATCTCACGAACCGCGAGATCATGACCTGAGCCGAAATTGACTTGGATGCTCAACTGACTGAGCCACCCAGGTGCCCTCTGAATAGAATGTTTAAAATGTGCCTCCAATGCCACATTTGACTCTTGGAGGACAAGAGAAATGTCTCGTTCCTCTTTCCAGTTCCAATCCTGGCACATAGCAGGTCTTCCATTCACGTCTGTTGGTTGACTGAGTGAATAATGAAAGAATAACTTTTCTACCTCTGGTCCTCAACACTGTACATCAAGAGATTTAACGGGAGATTCAGGGGTTCTGTGTTCTCAGGTTCATCCTGCCAGATGCAATAAGGTACAGTACGGCACCAGGGGGCAGAACTCAGGGTCTTGTGGGCTTGATTATGGGTGGATGCTTCCCCCCTGGCATTTCTGGTTTTAAGGGGAAGAGGTCAAGCAAACGGATCTAATGCAGTCCTGTCATCGGGTGCCGTGCGACTGCTGTAGTCAGATGGAAGGCTGCAAAACGGGGGGAGAGATTTTTCCTGTTGTCCAGGAAAAATAGGAAAAATGTGGGACTGGAGATATATTGAAGAAAAAAGAAATGCTGATTACAGGAGAAGAGAGAAAGGGTCACCTGTTACTTGGGAAGGAAATAAATCATTGTTTATCTGCACACAGAGAGACGTAGATTTTGACTCAACTCTGTGTTTCATTGAACCATGGTTTAAAATTCCTACATACTGTGTTTTTTAAGTCCGTTCAAAATATGAATTTCTATGAGAGACGGTAGACGGAGTATAACCCAGAGGGGAAAGGGTTTAGAAGGAAAAGAAAACCAACATCGTCTTTATCTCGATGGGACTTTGGGAAGCAAAATTTTGAACTAGGAGAAAAGTGTATGTGTAGATGGCTCGCTTTATATGTTCATTTCTCAGTGAAGAAATGCTGGAGTGCAAGTGTGAGAACTTCCCCTTGACTTTGTCCCTGGATGAAATTTAAAGTCAGACTTGGACCTTCCTTTCAGCCTTTCAGTAAAGTGACCATTACTTATTCTGAATTAGGATAAATCAAGGTCATATCTTTTTTTGTTTGGTTTTTTTAAGTTTATTTATTTTGAGAGAGTGAGAGAGAAAAAGACCATGAGTGAGGGAAGGTGGGGATAGAAAGAGAGAGAAAGAATCCCAAGCAGGCTTTGCGCTGTCAGCACAGAGCCCAACGTGGGGCTTGATCCCATGAGCTGTGAGATCATGACCTGAGCTGAAACCGAGAGTCGGACGCTTCGCTCATTGAGCCACCCAGGTGCCCCAAGGTCATGTCTTAATTCATAAATGGAGATCTGAAACCAGCCTGCCTTCACAAGATGTCCAGTGCCTTGTTTTGTTCTTGGACTTTCTAATTGGAGCATTTTTACTTTGAATTATAGGTTTTGCACCCCTCATTCATTACGGGTCTTTATTTCAATTGCAGCTCGAGTTAACCTTCAGCTACTTGGAGATTCATGGTGTCAGCTGCGGCAGGCCTGCTCAGGTGAGTGCCACAACGGCTCCCTGCTCGCCGTGACTGCACGGCGGTGACCTGTCTCGAGTTCCCGAAACCGGGAACCCCTGGTTTTGGTTCCAGTGTTGAGATTCTCTTGAGATGATGTAGAAAAACAAGACGGGGGAAAATGGAAGTTTCTGAACGAGAGATCGCACAGGGGGCCGTGTGGGGAGGGTCTGGGATTTTGTTCTGGTAAAGAAAACGCTTTCTCTGTAACTCGGTCTGAGAAGAACTAATTAGCTTTTATGTGAGCTGATGGTGGAAATGTCAGAGTACTGTTCTTAGAGATTCTGTACGACACGGTTTAGTGTTAAAATCCCACAGCTCTTATATGGCACTGTCTGAGGTCTTTCTGGGAATATAGCGATCTAGGAATTCATGGGGTCCTAATAAAATGTAGATTTTTAAAACCAGCTTTGTCGCGCTATAATGAGTAATAAGCAGGGAACTGAAGTGTACGATTTGGTAAGTTCTGACGTATGTGTACCCAGGAACCCGTTAACCACAATCAAGACAGCTGACTTAGTCTTCACCCCATGGGCTCCTCGTACCCTCCCCCCGTAAACACTCACTCCTGCCCCCCGCCCCCCACCTGTCTGCGGTCGCCTGCCCCTTGCCGCCGGAGAAGAGTTCGCATTTTCTAACACTTTGTCTGAATGGCATCCTAGTGTGTGTACTCTTCATTGACCACCTTCTCTCTGCCTGTATAATTATTTGGGGATGGATTATACTTTGTTGCGTGTCTCTGTACTTCCTTTGTATTGTTGCAGCGTGTTCCATTGTGTGGCTGTATTGCAGCCCTGTCCCCGTTCTCCCGGTGATGGACAGTTGGGTTGTTGACGTCGTTGGCCAAGTCAAGCTGCCACGAACCCCTATGCGTACAGCTCTGATTGGGCGTAGGCTTTTCCTTTCCCCCGGGTGGGTACTTAGGAACGGGGCAGCCAAACTGGAGGCTGGGTGCCTGTTTCCCTTTCTAAGAAGCTGCTGAACTGTTTCCCAAGGTGGCTGCACCATTTGACAGTGTCACCGACAGAGCGCGGGGCTTCCAGCCCCTCCACCCCCTCCTGGCCCTGGCACGGCCCGTGTGTTTCATTTTCACCATTCCGGAAAGTACGTGGTGCTTTCCGATCGTAGTTTTAACTTACGTTTTTCTAACGCCTACAGATACTGAACATCTTTTGATCTGTCCGTTTGCCCATCATCTGTCTCCCTGTCCCAGTGTCCGTTTAAATGTTTGGCCATCTTTTAGAATTGAGTTGTTTGTTTTCTGATGAAGATTCCTTTTCTGCATTCTGAATACACATCCCTTATCAGATACCTGATTTATACATATTTTTTCTTAGTCTGAGCCCTGGCGTTTCCTTTTCTCTGCAGTACTTTTCAAAGGGCACAAGTTTTAAATTTTGACGACGCCCAATTTGCCAGTATTCTCTTTTATGGATTGTGCTGGTGTCGTTGAATAAGTCTTTGCTCAAACCGAGGTCACAGAATGTTCCATGTTTTTTGGAAGTGTTATAGCTTTATGTTATACATTTAGGTCTATGGTCTACTTTGAGATGGTTTCTGTATATAAAGCAACATATAGACCGACCTTTATTTCTTTTTCTTTCTTTCTTGCTTTCTTGCTTTCTTTTTCTTTTTTTCTCTTTCTTTCTTTCCTTTCTTTTCTTTCTTTCATTCTTGCTTTCTTTCTCTTTTTTCTTTCTTTTTCTCTTTCTGTCTGTCTTTCTTCTTTTCTTTCTTTCCTTCTTGCTTTCTTTCTCTTTTTTTCTTTCTTTTTCTCTTTCTTTCTTTCTGTCTGTCTTTCTTTCCTTTCTTCTTTTCTTTCCTTCTTGCTTTCTTTCTCTTTTTTCTCTTTTTCTTTCTTTCTTTCTTTCTTTCTTTCTTTCTTTCTTTCTTTCATTCTTGCTTTCTTTCTCTTTTTTCTTTCTTTTTCTCTTTCTGTCTGTCTGTCTTTCTTTCCTTTCTTCTTTTCTTTCTTTCCTTCTTGCTTTCTTTCTCTTTTTTTCTTTCTTTCTTTTTCTCTTTCTTTCTTTCTGTCTTTCCTTTCTTTCCTTCTTGCTTTCTCTTTTTTTCTTTCTTTCTTTCTTTCTTTCTTTCCTTCTTTTCTTTCTT